TATAACCTCCACCTCCTGGGTTCTAGCGATTCTCATGCCTCAGCCTCCCAAGTAGCTCAGATTACAGGCGAGCACCACCATGCCCAGCTAATATTTATAGTTTTAGCAGAGACAGGGTTTCACCATGTTGGTCATGCTGGTCTTGAACTCCTGACCTCAAGTATCTGCCCGCCTTGGCCTCCCGAAGTGGTGGGATTACAGATGTGAACCACTGCACCTGGCCCTGACTGATTTTACATTGCTGACAAAACAGCTGCTATGATTATTTTGTTATTGTAGATTTTGACATGAAGCTAGAAAACAAAAGTCCTAAAAAACCTATTATATCTATATTTTAAATGAATGGAATGAAAACCATGTTTGCCTATAGCAGTTTAAAGTACAGTCTTGTGTTTGGTAGTATTTCATCACATATTAAACATGTGCTTGTTAAAAGTTCTCTGTTCTGTTCATGTCTAAGTAGAAAGCCTAATTAATGTAAATGTGCATTTTGGGAAGACCTGTTCATGGTTATGCCATGAAAATACTTTTTACTGGACAAAATGATAATTAGTGCTTTATCAAAAGTTCATGAAGGTGAAGTACTTTACACACAATTTAGAATTACTATTATTTTTATTTTTGGGGCCGCAGTCTCGCTTTGTCGCCCAGGCTGGAGTGCAGTGGCTGGATCTCAGCTCACTGCAAGCTCCGCCTCCCGGGTTTACGCCATTCTCCTGCCTCAGCCTCCCCAGTAGCTGGGACTACAGGCGCCCACCACCTCGCCTGGCTAGTTTTTTGTATTTTTTAGTAGAGACGGGGTTTCATCATGTTAGCCAGGATGGTCTCGATCTCCTGACCTCGTGATCTGCCCATCTTGGCCTCCCAAAGTGCTAGGATTACAGGCTTGACACACCGCGCCCGGCCAATTTAGAATTTAATTGAAACCTTGCAAAAGCCCTATCAAATAGTTACTATTATCCTTATTTTACTGTGAGGATGTTGAAATTTTAAAAAGTTAAGGATCTTGCTTATAATCATGTAAGCAAGTTAGTGGAAGTTAATGGAATTAGAACCCAAGTCTAATTCCAGAGCCCATGTGTGTTTCACTGTGCTTTGTTTTTTCTCCTAATATGTCAGTTCTGTGGATTATACAGTCATAAAAAGTTAACCTATTTTTGAACAAACCTGATATGTGAAAGTGTTAGATTCACCAGCAGACAAATTTGTGATATTCTTTACTGTTGTGACAGGGGATGGTTCACTTTTTTTTTTAAATTTAAGTTATAGGGTACATGTGCACAACGTACAGGTTTGTTACATAGGTATACATGTGCCATGTTGGTTTGCTACACCCATCAACTTATCATTTACGTTAGATATTTCTCTTAATGCTATCCCTCCCCTGTCCCCCACCCCGCAACAGGCCCCGGTGTGTGATGTTCCCCTCCCTGTGTCCATATGTTCTCATTGTTCAACTCCCACTTGTGAGTGAGAACATGTGGTGTTTGGTTTTCTGTCCTTGTGATATTTTGCTGAGAATGATGGTTTCCAGCTTCATCCATGTCCCTGCAAAGGACATGAACTCATCCTTTTTTATGGCTGCATAGTATTCTATGGTGTGTATGTGCCACATTGTCTTTATCCATTCTGTTATTGATGGACATTTGGGTTGGTTCCAAGTCTTTGCTATTGTGAATAGTACCACAATAAACATACATGTGCTTGTGTCTTTATAGCAACATAATTTATAATCATTTGAGTACATACCCAGTAATGGGATCGCTGGGTCAAATGATATTTCTAGTTCTAGATCCTTGAGAAATTACCACACTGTCTTCCACAATGGTTGAACTAATTTACACTCCCGCTAGCAGTGTAAAAGCATTCCTGTTTCTTCACATCCTCTCCAGCATTTGCTGCTTCCTGACTTTTTAATGATCGCCATTCTAACTGGCATGAGATGGTGTATCTCATTGTGGTTTTGATTTGCAGTACCATTCAGGGTGGTATTGCAAGTGGTACTACCATAGGCAATACCATTCAGGACATAGGCATGGGCAAAGGCCATTGTGGTTTTGATTTGCAGTACCATTCAGGACATAGGCATGGGCAAAGGCCATTGTGGTTTTGATTTGTAGTACCATTCAGGACATAGGCATGGGCAAAGGCCATGGTGGTTCTGACTTGCAATCAAAAATCAATGGGTTGCAAATTAAGAATTAGTAGACTTCCTCAATTTTATACTTTAAAATTATGCCGTAGGCAATGCCATTCAGGACACAGGCATGGGCAAAGACTTCAATGACTAAAACACCAAAAGCAATGGCAGCAAAAGCCAAAATAGACGAATGGGATCTAATTAAAGAGCTTCTGCGCAGCAAAAGAAACTACCATCAGAGTGAACAGGCAACCTACAGAATGGGAGAAAATTTTTGCAATCTATCCATCTGACAAAGGGCTACTATCCAGAATCTACAAATAACTTAAACAAATCTACAAGAAAAAACCCCATAAAAAAGTGGGGCAAAGGATGTGAACACACTTCTCAAAAGAAGACATTTATGCAGCCAATAGACATATGATTCACCTGTTTTTTAAATGACATGACGTTAAAAATATTACTTTTCTAAAATTCAGTTTTTCACTCAACGTTTTAGGAATACTTACATTGTAAGATTGTATCAAGTGAGGCAAACCTATATTTTGGTGTTCTGTATTCAACACCTACCTTGTGAATGCCTGTTTTCTGCCACGTTCTAGGTGTTAGGGATATAAATGGCTTGCAAAATCAGACACGGTTTCTGTTGGCTCTGGTACAGGTATACCTGGGCTTCAAATCTTGGTTCCACCTCTTTATAATTATGTAATCTTGGGCAGATTACTTAACTCCCTAAGTCTCCATTTCTTCATCAATAAAAAGGGAAGAATAATTAATACCTTTCTTAGAATTGTTTGAGGTTTGAGAGAATGTATGTTCATAACATGGTATCTGGCATGTAGTAAAATGCTCAATAAATGTTAGCTTTTATTATCACCCTAAAAGTAAGTAGCATTTGAAGTATAAGTTTTGTGGATTTTTTTGTTTGTTTGTTTGTTTTTTTTCTTGAGACGGAATCTCGCTCTATCACCTAGGCTGGATTGCAGTGGTGTGATCTCAGCTCACCACAACCTCCACCTCTCAGTTTAAGCAGTCCTTTTGCCTCAGCCTCCCAAGTAGCTGGGATTACAAGTGTATGCCACCACGTGTGGCTAATTGAAATACAAGTAATTTTCTTTAAAAAAAAAAAAAAAAAAAGACACACTGAATAAGCTGATTCAGTAACATCATCTTCAGTCTGGCATGGTAGTCATCTTCCTTGAATTATTTGAAAAGTCTTGTGTTTCATTTGTTGTGTATACCACCATATATACATTTTGAAAGTATAGTAAAAGCCATGATCTTTTCACATTTTAAGGATGGTGCTAGAATCACTGCATGGGGTAATTCCAAATATAAGAGAATATATGTTTGGCTCATGGCAACTATAGTAACCTACTTTTTTATTACCTTTCTTGTGAGAAAGATAGTCACTTTGTGATTTGTTTTTTGGAACAGTATTTGTGAGAAAAAATTTGAGAAATAAATTTTTCAGTGACTGGGAACAGAAATACTCTGAGAGCTTTACTCTGACTTATAATTGACATTTTGTATGATATCTTGAGTTTCTTGAATGGAAAGTATTTCTAAATATATTTAGAAAATACTAACATTAAAATACAGATATTTTCTATATACTTAGAGCACAATATTTAGGCACTTGAATATATAAATCCAAGTACAAGTAATTTGGAATTTAAAAAGGTACATTTATAAAAAGTTATAAGGGTGGTCAGTCTAGTCAGATTTCCTTCTAGATTACTAAATTGTTTTAGAACATTGTGATTTATTAGAAGTATGAGGAGGAATTAAATGTGTCCAGATACAAGTTCTAAAAGATGCTACATAAAAATGAATCTGATATTTTTAATAGTTTCTATCAATAATAACTTTGTTAAAATAGTTAAATTTTCCTCTTTTGATTTGATGAAAAACCTTACTTGTAATGCTTCTCAGGAGATCTCTTCAGCTATATCTCCTGTAAAAAGATATGTCAGGGTTATTTTTATTATCTGTAATGAAATCTTGTTAGAGAAAATCTTGCTCTGACAGTCAATCACTACCTTTTTTTCATTACCAAAGTCCAAATGCCAAGGAAAAGTCAACTCTTAAATTGGAGAGGCGTATAAACAGTTCAATTATAGTGGCTATTCAAATACATTTTACAATTCTTTTCCTGTTTTTATAGTTTGTTCAGTCTTGATTAGGCTGTTTTAAACTATGTAAAAGATAATGTTTTAGTAGAAATCTGTTTTTCTTAGTGTACATAAAAACATTGTGTAGCTGATGTGGAATTTGGTTGTTAAATGTGATTTTTGAAGGAATTTTTTTGTAGAATAGATTTTAAAAGGTTTCTTTTAGTATATACAGCCAGCTTTTACATTACGTTAGACGTTATAACTAGAAGTCAGTTGTAGTTCTGGAAATGAATATTAGCTTTACTTATTCTAAATTTTTATGAGTAATCAAACTTTTGGCATATATGCTAATTTATGTAACCTCAGTCAAGATTTTCAGACATCTTCTTGAGATTTATTAAAATTAAGATTTAGTTACCAGATTTAATGGTTTAATTTTAAAGGAGCAAATTTAAGTATATTTTGTTCTTAGAAGTTAAAGAACAAATGAAATGATTTAGCTGTCTTTTGCAGGGGGGAAATACACTCATTTAAAGTTAAGTTTGTAGATTACTTCATTGAAATGGCCATACATAAAACGTAATTTTTAAAATAACTTTTTGTTTGGCATGAAGTAATATTAACTCATTGAGTCTGAGATTTAGCATCCAAAAAGGTATTGAAAACAAAGTTCTTTCATAAGAATAATGTTTAGTGATGTTCATTTAATATTTTTGAGCTTGAAAAATGAATACTTAGGGTGATTCTGAAAATCAACTCCTTTATTATTCTAATAACACATACTCTATTGAGACCAAGTTAGCCATGCTTTGTGGGAACTCAGCCTGCAAAGAATTGAATTTGCTGGGTTTTGTCACTTCCAGGACCAGCCAGGGTTACTGTAGCCTGCCGGTTGACTACATCTATGCATAATTTTGTGCAAAATCATCAAGTGGTACTGTTTGCTTTTAAAGTGATGTGTAACTTTTTATTATAATCATTAATACAATCAAAGAAGGTAGCAGTGCTTTTATTTACTTTTTATTGTCATCAAGCAGTTTTCTAGGAATTTTCAGCAAAATACCAATTCAGCTATAAGTCTAGTATGAAACACAGGAACTGTGAATATGAGCTTTTGGTGCCTGCTATGGAAAAATCAAATCAATAGCTTTAATGTCTTCTTACAATCTCATTTTGCTTCACTATAGCTCTGTTTTAGTTAGATCTGCACATCTGTTTTGCTCCAGGTGGTTAATTTTACCAGTTCAGTTTCTCTGTAGATTTTTGCCATAGTAGAAAGGATTTCAAATCTTAATAGCCCCTTAAAATATTTTATTACCAGTTACTGAAATGAACGATAGATAATGTACATGCTTTGTTTTTTGTGCAAATACCCAAGACAATCTGATTGAAAGACAGCTTAAGGACAAATAAATAGCAAAAGCATTCAGTCTTTATTTACAGTATATAGAAGGTTACTGTTTTCATCTTAGGTGGAAGAGTCTGATCAGCAGGAACACCCCAGAGGAAGGACATCTTTAGCGATAGAATTTACATACCGTTAGCTCACAGTAATTGATTAGTAGCAGGGCTCTGTAGTACAGAGCTAGCTGGGCATGTTATTTGGGATGCCTTTGATGCTGTGGTTTTCCGAAGCTTGCTGGCTGCATGCTTGTTGCCTTTGTTCGTGACACAGGTAATTACTTGATAAAATGAAGTGCATCGCTGTGAACAATTGACCCTTTGGAACAATCCAGGCTGGTCAGCAGTCTAAAGCCACACTTTAAAGCCATCATGATAGCCTCAAACTTAAGAGTTTCCAAGGTACAGACAAAGGTGTTGTCTTCCTTTAGTACAAGTCGAGTGCCATTTTCAGACTTTATGAAGTATTTAAATTGGATGATATTTGACGATATTGAAAACTCCTCTGGAAATCCATCCAGCCTGCTTTTGGACACCAGAACAATGCGAGACTTTATTTTTGATATGAAATCAGGAGCATTACAGAAGATTCTCAGTCCTTGTGAACGATCGTGATTATCTGTTATTTCCAAGAAAGTAGTCTCTCTGGGTGTTAGCTGTTCTTTCTCCCACCTGGATTTCACTTCCTCTGCCAGTCCCTTGAGCTGAAAGAATTCTGCTTCTTGTGCAAGAAGTTGATTTTCTCGAAACCCTTCGGGCAATAGAAGTTCTCCATTTCGTAGGAAGTTTAGGACATGCCTGAAGAGGAGCCCATCCCTGTCTATGAAATAATGACCATCAGCATCAAACGGGCAGAGGATTTTTCCGTTTACTATACCTTCAAGGAAAGTGTCTGGGTACTTGGTCAGCGTTTGTTTTTGAGTAATGTATAAATATCCACCAACGTTGAGGGTCATCAGTGTAGATTTGCAGTTCTTTCCTTGATCAGTATCTTCCAGGCTGTTGTGTTTCCCTTCGTACTCTTTTTCTTTTTCTCTTCTGTTTATTTTACGCTCCATTTTTTGAAGATGCTATTTCAGCTTGTTCTTCTTGGCTTTGAGATTTTTTAAAAAGAAACACTACCACACAAGCACGCCTTTATTCAGCCCCAGCCTGGTGATGGAATGGAAACACTGGCAGCATCGCCTGCGCTGTCAGCTCGGTTTTGCAGTAGGTGGCGTATCAGCCTATGTATGCAGGAGCTTTCTGGAGTAAGACGGAAAAGAGAATTTGCATTTAACTGTATCAGGGAAGGGATTTGTTGTGAAAGGATTTTCATGTCTATCCTTTGAAGTAATAAGAGGTACTTAGAATAAATTGAATTTCCTCTTGTCAGTTAAGCAGATGCAAATATTTAATTCTTCATCCAAATGTGAATGTTTAACTATTTCTAAATGCCTGAGTTATTTTTTAATCAGGCAGGCTTAATATTGAATAATATTGTCATCTTTTGGAAAATAATGTATATTGATTTAGTGTCACCTTTTTAAAGTAAACATAAGGTGAAAATTCTAGGTGTATACAATTTTCTTTCCCGGAAAAAGTCACACATTTCACAGTGGTGTAGTCATTTTTGAGACACAAATAAGAATACTTAACCTGCTACTTGTGACACTGTACTTGATTTTAACTGGATTTGCATGTGATTCTGATTTGGAGATCTTTGTTAAAGGATGTTAAGAAATTTATTTTTTTTTATTATTATTATTTTATTTACCCTAAAAGTAAAAAAATCAAATAGACAGGCTTTACAGTAATCTCTTACTTTTTTTGGTTAAGATTTTCTGTGGAAAATTCATGAACTTGTTTCACTCGGAACCTGCTTTTGTGCTGAACAAAGACTTGGGCAATTATAGAAAATACTGTAACTGTGTATGTGCATGCATATATATGCCATATAGGAAGATAGGAGAAAGATACAGATTCAGAATACCTACTACAAAATAGTGTCATGGGTAAGTTAGTTTGTTTCTTGTTTGTTTCACAGTGGGTAAAAGAAACCACCAAAGCCTAACCTTGTTTTTCAACTTGGGAGCTGGAACAGTGTGAATGATGTCACCCTCCACTTCCCAGATCTTTTTCCTCTTTCCCCTATAACTTCCCTTCCAAAGCAATTTAGGGTTCTGAACTGTCACTTCTAGCATTTAAAGGCTCAGTGGTAAGGAATGTAAACATTGTCCCCAGTACACTATTATTTGGCCTATCTGCTAAATTATTCTGGGAATCTACATTGTTTTTTGTTTTTGTGTCAATTTTGTATTTTTATTTTTGTAGAGACAAGTTTTTTACCATGTTGCCCAGACTGGTCTCAAACTCCTGGATTCAGGTGATCTGCCCATCTCAGCCTCCCCGAGTGCTGGGATTACAGGCATGAGCCACTGCCCTGGGCCACACTGTTAAAAGTTAGACTTTGGTTTATATTTCTCTTACATTAGAAGTATTTTAAAATTACTTAACTGTATGTTGACATAGAAATATTGGAAGAGATTCTTCTAAAGTGCTTACTTCTTATTTTCTTTAAACAATATTAGATTTTCACGTATAAAAAACTATATTCTTACAGTGATCTTGAAGTTAACTTTCATGCATTATTAAGATCAAAAGTTCATTGAAATTGAACTAGAAAACTAAGGCGTAATGTTTTTAGAGCTGTGTTTTTGCTTAGAGACTATGAAATTCAACTTCCTCATTTCACCAAAGATAAAATTGCATTCCAGAGAATTGTTAGTATTTTATCTAGGACTTTACAGCAAAGCCAACTTTTTGACTAAAACTTCCTTTCAGTCCTGCAGCACTTAATAAGACTTACCATTATATTCTGACAATCTCATGTTTGTCTTGATTTTGCTTTTTTAGATTAAGTTGTTTCTGTCAATACAAGTTTTTAAGAAATACTGAATAGATTTTGAGGGAGAAGGGATACAACTTTGGAAGTTTATTTTCTTGTCTTACCATTACAAATAGTCACTGCACTTGAGTAGCATCGTATAATAACAGAATCAAAAAGGCATAACAGTTTCATTTATAGGTTTAGTCCTCTTTTTTTGAACTTTATAGGGTACCAGAATTAGTACAACATAACTGTAGTATAGTAATGGGAGACTGTGCTAGCATGTTCTTGCTTGTTTAAATAAAGTGATGTGGATAGATACTATGTATGCTGGGTCTGCCTCCTCAACCCTGTTTGGCCTGTCTATAGATGCCTTCATGGGAAGCCCCAATGCTGTTCCTTTTGGAGGATGGGCTTCCATGGGGTGATGAGAGGGCAGGAGTGAGGCAGGACAGCTGGAAATGGGACTGCTGACCTTCAGTCATCACTCCAGGGCCACCTTACACTTCCTAACTCACTCACTCCTGGTTTCTGCTGCCGGGCTTTCAAAACCCCTGATGAGTGCTCGTTTCTGCAGGCTTGCCTGAACAGACCCTGAACCATTCCATCTTGTGCCTCTTTTCCTTGATTGATTTTCTCAGTCTAGACTTCACTCTGGTGTTCTCGGCTTCTGCAAAGTTGACGTGTGATTTCTTTGCCACCCATGGCTTGGCAACAGCAGTGTAACTGAAGCCTTGTCTTAGTGCCTGGCTGATACAAATCCATAGGACTTTGGTGTCCTCTTTGGCCCAACTTGCAGACTTAAGGAAGAAAAATGTAGGCCGGGCATGTTGGCTCACGCCTGTAATCCCAGTACTTTGGGAGGCTGAGGGGGTGGATCACTTGAGGCCAGGAGTTTGAGACCAGCCTGGCCAATATAGGGAAATCCCTTGTCTACCAAAAATTTAAAAAAAAAAAAATTAACTGGGGTGTGTTGGTGTATGTCTGTAGTCCCAGCTACTTGGGAGGCTGAGGCAGGAGACTTGTCTGAGCCCAGGAGGTGTAGGTTGCAGTGAGTCGAGATAGCGCCACTGCACTCCAGTCTGGGCAACACAGTAAGACCCTGTCTCAAAAAATAAAAATAAAAAATAAAAATGGCGCCCAGTAGGCCCCACTGTATCCCTGTTACTCCATATTACCTCCAGCAAAGCAAGATGACCGCAATTCATGAAAATTATAGGAGTTCATTGATCATTGCTGCCTGTGGTGGTACACATGCCCCTTAGGAGAAAGCCAGATTATCTCTTTTTAGGCTATTCTAAATTTATATTTACTTGCTAGAGGGTGGGAAGTGGGTGTTACTTGTCCGAGGTAGTGTCAGTAAGGTCTCCACAGCCCTAAAACTATAAAAATGGTGTTTCAGTACCTGTACCAAGGGAGACATCCCTAGATCATGGGACTGTGTTTCTCTGCCTCATTGCAGATACAAACTGGAACTGCTCAATTTAATGGTTTCAGCAGAAGGGTTTAAACCACACATGTCACAGATTAGCTTACCTGGAACCACTTGGCCACTAGATTTGAAGATTTTATCTGCCTTTGCAGGCAAAAACATATAAAATTTTGAAAGATTGGGGTCCTGTTTCCTACTCCGTACCTTAACTCTTTATTAGAGTTAGATCACCTCTGTCTTAGACGTCTTTAATCATACATAACCAACTTCGAGAATTTAAACTGGTCCTTAGTATGAGTATATCCTATAGTTAATTGGGTCCAATGCCTAACTAAATTCTGGCAGAACCTTCCCCTATGAGGTAATGCTAATGTCCTACCGTCTGCATAAGGCAGAACTCATTCCAGCAGGAATTCCCATCTTTTCTACCAATTCCTTTTGGGAAATGAGGTCTTTGTCATCCCACGATTGATGCAGGACATCATTGTAATATATACACTTGCCCCATTTATATGCCAGAGATATTCCCATGCCGTGGAAGGAAGTGGAACCTTACCAGGAGGTTATCTCTCCCGATTGGAAGATACAGAAAGTACGATAATTCTCCTTGACTTCACAGGTCACTCCTCTATAAAATTCAAACACTCTTCAAGGAAAAGGGATGGTCTTAGAAGCTGCCTTTGAGAAGAATAGGGAGCTTCTGTCTCCACATTCTCCCCTTCTATCAAATCTTGGTTGTTGTCAGCTGCATGCTTCTCTGCTTGTCTTTTAAAAGGATTTCTTTCCCATTACTTTAGAAAGTAAAAGCTAGAGAAACTGGTGTCAATTTTTTACTTAAACCTGACACTATCTCTGCCTTGGACTTGCCCACATTTTTTGTTTGTTTGTTTATTGATCTGTGTTTTGACCTTTCTCTGCCTCTCACAAGCTGAGTTTCTTTTTTTTTTAACATGTACTTGCTTCATCTCCTCTTGTCAATAGCATTGAATATAAGAAACGCTTGATGTATGAATATTTTGTGTTGGCTTCTTTTGTGTGTTAAAAATAAAAATTACACTGTCTAATGATTGATGTATTTTAAGAATCAAGGACTTTCCCATATTAATGTAATTATTTTTGAATGTCCAAATTTTAGTTCTATTTCGAAATATAAAATTTATCTGCTCTAAATGTTGCCTAGTACTGGTATTATACTAACAAAAGTACTATGGCAGCCACTTTATGTAACTGATGGACCACAGCATCTCACAAACTGTGTAGAGTCCTTGAACCTTCCTAGGACTAATAGGACATAACCTCTGGTCAGAAAGTCATGTGAACATATCATTGCAGTCCAAAGAATGCAGCTGTAAATATTTTTGCAGTGTTGAACTGTGTCTTCAAGGAAGCCCAGGAAAATTGCTTACATTGGCAAATGTTTTAGCCTCATTTGAGGGGTATAGAAAAAAATAAGGCACTATGTGTCAAAAGGAGCGCAAATAAAGACAACACGCTACCTCAGAAGTTCAGGTGAAATTCCATTCCACATTTCTTTGATTTTCACTACAGAGGTAATCTTGACAATTTATAAATTATATTAATTCATGTTTTACATGTACTTTGGAAAATGAATATTTCAGGGAAACCTGTGTTTTATAATTTTGTAAGCAGAAGTCATACCTTAAGTTTTTTAAAACGAAGTTGTTTTTTTTTTTAAATATAACCTGTGCATTATTCTTTACTGGAAAATTCTATTGTAAGCAGATGAGCATAGCACTTACATAAGCCATCAAATGAACATTAAAATTATAATATTGTACAGAACTCATTTTTATAGTGCTATTTGGCAAAATGCAATTTTACTTTCTCTTCGGGAAGAAGATATTTTAAGCTAATAACCATTACCTACAATCTCAAAATGAGGGGCATAACTTTGAAAACTCTTGTAAAGGTACTACAGTTAGGAAGTAAGTGACTAAAGAGGGTCTCTGTTTCCATATACTAGTGCCTGCCACTGTTCCTTCTGTTTTTCTCATCACTTAACATCCCCTCGTGTCTTCTGTGATGAGGTGGTGTGGAGGAGAGAGGAGAGGACCTGAACAGGAGAACAGGATGTGATGGCTCAAGGGAGATGATGGCTCAAGGGAGCAAATGTGGTTTCTTACAGAGTAGGGAGGAGTTGTAAATTAGGGATGGAGAATGCTATCATATCACACATTTTTTTTGTATTTACCATTTCTATAACTGAGGTACATCTTAGTATCGTTAGCTTGTCAAAATTTAGTGGCAGTATTTTGTCTTGGTGGCATGTAAAATAATGGTTGATATTACAAATGATAGCATCTTATAGTTGATGAAGTATCTGAGCAGCTCTATGAGCTCTTCCCTCCGTATCACAAGAAAGTAAAATTAACAGACAGGGAGGAGGGAAAGAATTTTGCAGGGAGATAGAGAGGAGAGAGAGGGAAGACAAAACATTGTGGCTGCTTGATGTTAAAATTATCTAGACAAATTATTTTATAACTTTTATAAAATTAAATTTTACTTTTTGATACAGGGTCTTGCTCTGTCACCCAGGCTGGAGTGTACTGCAACCTCAACCCCCTGGGCTCAGGTGATCCTCCTGCCTTAGCCTCCCATGTAGCTGAGGCCACAGGCATGCCCCACCATACCTGGCTAACTTTTTGATTTTTTTGTGTGTGTGTGTGGAGACTGGGTCTCACTTTGTTGCCCAATTTGGGCTCAAGCTGTCCTCCTGCCTCAGCCTCCCAAAGTGTTGGGATTATAGACGTGAGCCACCGTGCACAGCAGAATTCCTGAAGATCAAGTAGAGATCAGAATATCACTTTACAAGTTTGAATAAAGACCAGCTTTTTAATAATACAGGGATAGAAAGTTTGCCTCACTGGTTTGTTAAGATGCTACTACCTTTATTAGTAGACGTCACCTGAGAACCACAGGCAAAAAACTTCTAGGAACATATTTTAAATGAGAAGAAAGGAGACTACTAGGAATATTAAAAATGGTTTACCTTTTAAATGTACATGCTTCTTGAAAAGAT